CATTATAATTTTGTCTAGCAACTGCAGCAGAGGCAGAGCTAGGTAACAATAATAAACAGCAAAGTTACTGTTCCTTTCATAGCAAGGAATTCTTTTTCACTTGTTTCAAGAGCTTACCTGTCTTCATGATGTGTTTGCTCCAGTAAAATCTGTCCTCTGTGCTGAATTTTGGGCTTCCTCTTTGGGCCTCATACATTGCTTCTGTCAATTCTTTACCAACAATCTTTCCCTCACTTGAATACCTTTAAATTTCTTGTACATAGCAATATTTCTATTTTACATTTCATACATTCCAGTAACCTTGTTTCTCTTTTCCATAGGCCTGCTTGATCTCTCCAAAATGTTAAAAAGAATTGTTGAGCAGTGATCTTACAGCTTCTTCCTTTTTTTAATACTATGTTTATATTTGACATATAGAGAAGAACTGGGTTTTTCAAAGTATAATCTCCAGTCCATGTGAATTAGCACTTGCTTAAAATATAAATTCCCAGATCCCTCCTTGATCAAACAAATTAAATGAAAGGGTAGTAAAGACACAGACTAGGAATCTGAGATTATAACAGCATCAACCATGTGTTTAGCAAGTGTTTTTCTACTTGCTAGATGCATGGTTTTGAGCAAATTACTTAATACCTCTGGAGAACATCCATTTTTCAGTCTGAAAAACAGGTGTTGTTGTAAGGATTAAACATGATCATGTTTACATTTTTTTTTCATTTAAATTTTTTTAGAAGAGTAGGATAGAGGGGTAGAGGGAGAGAGAGAATCCTAAGCAGGCTTCACGGTTGGCCCAGAGCCCAACATGGGGCTTGATCTCATGACTCTGGGATCATGGCCTGACCTGATACCAAGAATCAGATGCTCAACTGACTGAGCCACCCAGGCACCCCAAATATGATGTTTTAATTCAATGCCTGGCTCAGTACAGTTCTCAGTAAATGGTAGCAACTGTTATTACAATGTTATGCATCTAGGTTTAAAATAAATATTTTTCTGATATGAGAATTAAATCTGGTGCTGTATACCTGAAACTAATATATCACTGTATGTTAACTATACCAGAATTAAAATAAAAATAGAAAATGTGAAAAAAAAGGAATTAAATCTGGTATAAACGTATTAATCTTTGGAAAAACTGTTAAGATTGATCAATGCAAAATAGAATTATATAAATAGAGCTTACTACTGATCGTAACTAAATAGCACTACCTTTGCGAAGGGAGTATAAAAAATGTAAGTGGAAACTCATTAGTATAAACATTAACTGATTTATTAGATGCAGCCGTAGTTTCAAAGAGCTAAGAATAATTTTTTTACCTCAGGTTTTGTAATAGTGTTAACATTAGACCAGTGGCTCTCAAACCTTTTGGTCTCTTAAGAATAATATTAAGGATTCAAAATAGCATTTTAAAGTTTATCTCAGGAATACAAGGATGATTTAACATACCAAAGAAAGTCAATGCAAGTCACCATATTATAATAAGTCTCCTAGCTGGCTTAGCCACTACTGGGCACTGTTTCAACTCATTCTCTGCTCTAGCATTTATTTACCAATGTGCATGCTTACATGCATGCTCCCTCCTCACACACACACTTTCCAATCTATACACAGAGATTAGTGAGGATAAAGGGGGAAAGAATCACTGGAGCTATGAGTTATCAGCCTGCAATGGGGTTGTGCTAAGGATTTTCTTTCACTTCCCAAAGCCAAGTAAGAACTCCAAGAGATTTAATAAGGTATATTTCAAGGAACAGCAATAATGACCTTTTCTGATGGGATGGTGAAGATAACGACTTGAATAAATAATACAAAATTTAAATAGCAATTGTTTTGTCGGTTATTTGAATGGAAAAATTGTTAAATGTCCATTTATTTTACAAAATGCTTTCACAAGTACATGGAATTTAACCTTCAGGGAAGCAAAATGCTAATTGTTTCTCAAATGAGGAAATCAGTGCAGACATGGGATTTAAGGTTAAATGACCTTAAATCTTAGGACCATACGTCAGTAACTTGTAAAGATGGGATTTCAACCTAGGTCTTTTGACTCTGAATGGCAAAATTATAGGATATGTATTGAATAGAATAGTATTGTTAGAATGAGAGTTAAAATTGGTTTATATGCCCATGTCTGAAATTAGGGTGGACCTCATGAAAAGCATATAAATAGCAGAAAAAAAATTTCATACATTCTTCCTTTCTTTTTTTTTTCTTTTAAGCCTGATTCTGATGGGAATCTACAGGTAAATTGAGTATTCAGGATTCTCTCTAAAGATATGGGCAGGGGGTGGGGAGTGGGAAGCAGAGAAGATGGCCATTAGTAAAAATTCAATATTCTAAAGAAATATGGAAGAGTTGAAACAACATTTCCAAGTCAAAGAAACTTTTGGAAGCTTAAAGAAGTGGTTAGAGTGTAGGAATGAAATGAAAATACTCAGAGCATTAATAAGTTTAACATTACAGGACAGTAAAGCTACACAGAGCAAATGTAGGTTCTTCATGTAATAATGTAATATCTCAGCTACTCTGTTCTTTTTATGAGGAAATATGCAAAAGTCATTTTCAGAAATGGTAAGCATTTTGGAAAGGGATAGGAAGATAACTGTTGCTTTGCTACCAGTTAAAATGGAGGTGAGTTATGAAAATCTCTGATGATAGAGGAAGTCTAGTGAACTGGGAAGAGAAACCATTTTTAGCAGAGGGAGAAGATAATAGGTTTAGTTACTAAAATTTTACCACATTTAGTTACAAATTAAAGGCACAAATAATAGTGAAATAAATTGGACAAATTTCTACCTCCTCTATACTTTTGTATTTATTAAACTTACTTGACAGCCTGGTAATCCGGTGTCTCTGCTGTACAGGGAAAATGAGCCTCTCTCTGACGTTTTTCCTATAAAATAAAGAATATAACTATATACAAAAATCCTCACTTACTGACAATCAATCCAACTTGTAGATCATTTGTAGTAATTATATTGTGATTTGGAAGTACAGAGAACAAATGAGAAACAAGACAAAATCCAACAAATAAAATTTAAAAAGCTTATTATCATTCCAGTTTAACAAATTCAGACTTTCATAAAATAGCATGCATTTTATTACTTTCTGCTGTGAAACACTAAAAAATATTCAACAGGATGGAAAAGAATAGACATCTATATAGCCAACAGTGTGATCCATGTACTTGGTAGCAAGAATAACGTTTTCCCACATTCGTTTCACAGTGAACATTTCTCCATCTCCTCTTCCCTCTTTCTCAGAAATTATAATAGCGTAGATACAGTTCACATCTTAACTGAGACCCCAAGGTCATCATCAAAAGGTTAGTAAATATGATTCCCATGCATATTTCAAAACTATTAATATATATTAATGTACTCAAACAATATGTTATTGTTTGTATTTAAAACATTTATTTTGTGTGGTGTGTATGTTTAATACATTTAAGTAGATGATAGGATTATATAGTATCTATTCCTTTTGAAACTTGCTTTTCCATGCAGTATTATGCTTTTAAGATACATGCAGATAATAGACACCTAGTTTATTCATTTTTACTGCTATAAAATGTCCTATATTATACAAACAATACCACAGTTGATCTATTCCCTTACTGAGAAAGAGATTTAGTGTATTTTTTGTTATCAGGACAAACAGTGAAGCAAACAGCCTTGCAGAGAAGTTCTTATTTATTCACTTTTCAATACACCAGAGTTTATGTTAAGTAAATTTATGAATATTAGAGATTTTAACTAAACAGTCTCTCACAGACATATTGCTTAAATAGACTTCTATAAGGGGGTACCTGGGTGGCTCAGTTAAGCATTTGACTGGCTCAGGACATGACCAAGAGGTCTGTGGGTTCAAGCTCTGCACTGGGGTCTGCAGTTTGATGTTAATATCAAAGATGGAGACACAAACAATGACAATGGCAGAGCTAATTCTTTTGCTCCATTCCGAAGTAAAATCAGTAACAATATAACTAAATCTGACCAGTTTTCCAAAATTTTTGAAATTACTAAGGTTAGCAGTGCCTGGGTGGCTCAGTCAGTTAGACATCTGATTTTGGCTCAGGTCATAATCTCACAGTTCATGAGTTCAAGCCCCATATCAGGCTCTCTGTTGTCAGCAGGCAGAGCCTGCTTGGGATCCTCTGTCTCCTCTCTCTGCCCCTCCCCCACTTGTACCCTCTCTTTCCCAACTAAATTACTGAGGCTATATGAACTTCCTCATAACTGTATAGAGTTACTACCTTGTCATTATATAAAAATGTATAGTTTATTAATTTTAACACTCCACACATAGATGGGATGCTCAAATTACTTACTGATATGGTGCACATAATTAAAAACACCTTTAAGACATATATACTAATATGATTATTTTCATTCCTGTATAAATGCCACACAGGCCAAATGATGTAAAATCATACAACTCTAAATTTTGTATGTACTGACCTGTTAGATACACAAAATAATCCTTGTAATAACAAAGCTAGTTACTAGAAAATACTGTAATAACTCAGAGTATAATTTCAGAGCCTATTAGGACTCTGTAGTACATGTCTTAACTGACTAAGCCACCCAGGTGCCCCTGTAGCACATGTATTAAAAAGCACTTACTGGCTATTAGTGATGAAGCACATATTTCAGGTGAAGTAATGCTAACACATAAAAATGCAGATTTATGAGAAAAGGTTAATTAATGCTATTTGCCTCACAGTCTCACCATAAAGCAATATGTTCTATATAAACTGATTTAATTTGCAAAATATACATATGGAATAAAAAGGAAAAACACTGTGAACTCTCTGAGGATCGATCCTTTACAAGCAAGACTGCTTGTAAGAGTCCAGAAGATATATGGGGGTTTTGGATTCTGCTCTTCTATTCTTGGAATCTGACCTTATGAAATCACAAAAAGATTGTACTTTTGCAATTGTGACACACACACCATTCCTGTGCCTCATCATAATGGATCAGAAACCCTGCTGGACCAAGAACATGGCAGGGATTGAAGGGGAATGCCAACTCAGAATGACTGGCAGAGAGATCACAGAGGTAAAATAAAGAACAGCACACATTTTTGGTTTGGAGGTATTGCTTTATTAATCAAATAAACACATTTATTAGATAATAAAAATCATTCTCAGTATATACCATTTTTAAAAAAGTTTATTTATTTTGAGAAAGGGAGAGAGACCACAGGCAGGGGAGAGGCAGAGAGAGAGAGAGAATCCCAAGCAGGCTTCACACTGTCAGCAAGGAGCCCAATGTAAAGCTTGAACTAACAAACTGTGAGATCATGACCTGAGCTGAAACCAACTGAGCCACCTAGGCACCCCAAGAAAATACTGCTTTTAAAAACAAATATCATATGTTTGCATGTATAGGAGGATTAGGAGGAACTTGACGGAGGAACAAGGGGGAGAAGAAGGGCGGAAATGGTGGGGGAAAGGGAGAGAGGCAAACCATGAGAGACTCTTGAATGCTAACAAAAACTGAGGACTGATGAATGTGGGGGGGAGGAGGGATGGGCATGGAGGAGGACACTGAGTGTTATGTGGAAACTAATTTGACAATCAACTATTTGTAAAAAAAAAAAATTTATAACTCAAACAAAACAAAACAAAACAAATCATGTACCATATACTTGGCAGACAGAACGGGGAAACTATATTAACATTTTATTTATTTTTTAATGTTTATTTTTGAGAGAGTGCAAGTGGGGGAGGGGCAGAAAAAGGGGGACAGAGGATCTGAAGTAGGCTCTGCACTGACAGGCTGACAGCAGTGAGCCCAATGTGAACTTATGTGTGATCATGACCTGAGCTGAAGCTCAAAGGACTGAGCCACCCAGGTGACCCAACTATGTTAACATTTTAAACAAATATCATAGAGTTAAAAATAAATAAAAGGCTGTGCTTGTCTTTTACCACAATATGCCACCAACTGATTACTGATTACTGGCTGAAATACTGAATAGGCCTTTTCTACCTTGCAAATTCCTCTTCCTGAAATACTATTTTAACAGCTAATAAAGACTTAAAGCTAAACAACAAGGTAAGGTCTGCTATACTTTTACTTTCAAAAGTACTAGATTTTCCCCCAACTGTTGGGAAGAAAAGGAAACAAAGTAAGAGATCAATATTAGCTCTGTTTTTAATAAAGTACAGTTTTCAAGTATAATTTTAATTATCTGTGTGGAGGCTGCCTGTTATATTATTTAAGAATATGTAAGTTTTTAAACCTACTTTCCTGTGCCTATTAAAATTTCCAAACTTCTTCCTTTGACAAGGATATTCAAATTAGAGAGAATGAAAACTAATTTAACATAGGCTAAAAACATTACAGAGTAAAAGTTTCTTCTGAGATGGAAAGCTGATAGCTTGTTTTTTTAAAAAAAGTTTTTAATATTTGTTTTTGAGAGACAGAGCACAAGCAGGAGAGGAGCAGACACACACACACCCACACACACACAGAATCTGAAGCAGGTTCTATACTCTGAGCTGTCAGTATAGAGCCTGATGTGGGGCTCGAACTCACAAACTGAGATCATGACTTGAGCTGAAGACAGACGCCTAACCAACTGAGCCATCCACATGCCCCAGCTGATAGCTGGTTTTTAAAATGATACTTAACCAATTCAAATGAGATTTTGAAATGTAAATACATTTTTATTTCACCTTTCATTTATTAGGAGCTAATTATTTCTAAGAGACTTAGAAATTTGGTTACGCTTGAAACAGAATAATACATACTCTAGGCCTGAGATTTAGAAGACATTCATCTTTAATTCTTTCAAAATTACTTTTTATAAGAACTATTTTCATGAATTAAAATTAATCTCTAAGTCTATTTTATCTCAGGTGTCTGAAAAATAACAACTTTTGGATACTGTTTTATAGTTTTCTGCTAAATATATATGAAAGCTGTATGTAGATAATTTTAATATACATCAACTGAACACAGCTGAAAACCTGTTAGTAAGTGAACATGTATCTAATTTCCATTGAATGGTGAGGGATCTGTACATCAGATCAGCTAAAAACCTGGATGTCAGTCTAGAAAGGAGAGGATTTGAAAGATGTGCAGTTACTGTACTTTTTATATTTGTAGAACTATCATGCTAAGATTGAATCAAAATTACACTATCTGGTCCCAGTGAAGAGACCAGAACAAAGGATAAAATTAAAAACATGCATTATTTTACCCTGTGGTAAGGAATACCTCTCAGGATACAGAATTTCCAATAGTAAAATTACTACTGTGCAGAAAATTATATAATATTCCTGGAGTTCTTACTAGTAAAGAGATTAATGGAACAATTGGCTCTTTTATTGTTAGTTTATTTATTAATGCAGTGGAAGATTTAAGAGACACTTTTGGCAACCAAGTTACTACGAGTAAATCACAGTGAGTTTATGTTTACTGGATACTTGGGTATTTTATAATGAAATGGCCATTCAAATATTTTATCTACTTTTTTCCTATTGGTTTGTCATTTACTTGTTGATTTGTAGGAGTTCCTCATGTACTTTTGAAACAAGATCTTTTATTGTCTTGTAAATATTTTTTTTCCTTTTTTTAAAATATAGTTTATTGTCAAGTTGGTTTCCATATAACACCCAGTGCTCATCCCAACAAGTGCCCTCCTCAATGTCCATGACCCATTTTTCCCTCTCCACGACTCCCCATTAACCCTCAGTTTGTTCTCAGTATTTAAGAGTCTCTCATGGTTTGCCTCCCTCCCTCTCTGTTGACTACTTTCCCCCCTTCTCCTCCCCTATGGTCCTCTGTTAAGTTTCTCCTGATCCACATGAGTGAAAACATACGGTATCTGTCTTTCTCTGCCTGACTTATTTCACTTAGCATAATACCCTCGAGTTCCATCCATGTTGCTACACATGGCTAGATTTCATTGTTTCTCATTGCCATGTAGTATTCCATGGTATAGATAAACCACATCTTCTTGATCTGTTCGTCAGTTGATAGACACTTAGGCTCTTTCCATGTTTTGGCGATTGTTGAGAGTGCTGCTATGAACACTGGGGTACATGTGCTCCTATGCATCAGCACTCCTGTATCCCTTGGGTAAATTCCTAGCAGTGCTATTGCTGGGTCATAGGGGAGTTCTACTGTTAATTTTTTGAGGAACCTCCACATTGTTTTCCAGAGGGGCTGCACCAGTTTACATTCCCACCAACAGTGTAAGAGGGTGCCCGTTTTTCCACATCCTCGCCAGCATCTATGGTCTCCTGATTTGTTCATTTTAGCCACTATGACCGGCATGAGGTGGTAGGTACATATCTTCTGTAGACTGCCTTTTCATTCTCTTAATGGTGTCTTTGTATAAACAAACATTCATTTTAACATAAGCTAATTTGTCCATTTTTTATGTACTCTTTAAAAAAATCTCTGCCTATTCCAAGGTCACAAATCTATTTTTATTTTTTCTATGCTTTCTTCTAAACGCTTTACTGTTTATCTTTTTTTTTTTTTTTTTTTTACAAATAGTTTATTGTCAGGTTAGCTTTCATATAACACCCAGTGCTCATCCCCACAAGTGCCCTCCTCCATGCCCATCTCCCTCCTCTCCCCCACACCCATCAGTCCTCAGTTTGTTCTCCGCATACAAGAGTCTCTCATGGTTTGCCTCTCTCCCCCTCCCCCACTGTTTCCCCCCTTCTTCTCTCCCATGGTCCTCCATTAAGTTCCTCCCAATCCTCCTATATGTGCAAACATATGGTATTTGTCCTTCTCTGCCTGACTTATTTCGCTCAGCATAACACCCTCAAGGTCCATCCATGTTGCTACACATGACCAGATTTCATTCTTTCTCATTGCCATGTAGTATTCCATCGTATAGATAAACCACATCTTCTTGATCCATTTGTCCAATGATGGACACTTAGGCTCTTTCCATGTTTTGGGGAGTGCTGCTATGAACACTGGGGTACATGTGCTCCTACGCATCAGCACTCCTATATCCCTTGGGTAAATTCCTAGCAGTGCTACTGCTGGGTCATAGGGGAGTTCTACTGTTAATTTTTTGAGGAACCTCCACACTGTTTTCCAGAGGAGCTGCACCAGTTTACATTCCCACTAACAGTGTAGGAGGGTGCCCATTTCTCCACATCCTTGCCAGCATCTACAGTTCTCTGATTTGCTCATTTTAGTCACTCTGACTGGCGTGAGGAGGTATCTCAGTGTGGTTTTACTGTTTATCTTTTACACTTAAACCTGAATTTGGTTTTTGTATATGTTGGTGGAGGTGAGGGGTTGTCAAGGTACATGTTTTTTCCACAGAGATATCCAACTGGCTTCAGAACTGTTAACTGAAAAGATGATTTACATCTTAAAAGTATCATCGCTGCTTGTAGGGGAACAAATGGAAGCAGGGAAACCAATTAGAAAACTACTGAAATAATCCAGATGAAAGCTAACGGTGGCTTTAGTTCTTCCAACTCACTGAGGTAGGTACTATTAAGTCCCTATTTCACTAATGAGGAGAAATAATTTGCCCAAGGCCACAGAATTACTAAGTAGTCAAAATAACCAGAATACAGGGCTATCTGACCCCAAATTCTTTTTTTTTTTTTTAATATTTTTTTATTTATTTCTAGGAGAGAGAGAGAGACAGCGTGAGCAGGGGAGGGTCAGAGAGAGAAGGAGTCACAGACTGAAACAGGCTCCAGGCTCCGAGCTGGCAGTCAGCACAGAGCCCGACGCGGGGCTCGAACCCACGAACCGCGAGACCATGACCCAAGCGAAAGTCGGACGCTTAACCGACTAAGCCACCCAGGCACCCCTATCTGACCCCAAATTCTTAAAAACATACTATACTGCACTGTTTTCCAGTGGAGGTTTAGGACACAATTCCCAGATTCAGCTCATATATATACATATTTGGTGGGGCTCAAATATAGCATAGGAATTTTTAGCTTTCTATTTAGCTTTCTACGCAGCCTCTACCCATAAAATGATTTGGCACTATCTATTCATGCTGAAAGAGAGACTGATGACAAATCATCCCCAATATGATTGGCAGCAAAACCAAACTACTCCAATGATTGGTTTTGGATGCAGAACATGGTAACCTATGCTGTTTTCATTCACAAGTAACTGCTATTCTTTTCAGTTCTCACAAAGGGCACATGTTAATATTTTTCTTACTTGAAATACTGGTTAGAAAAATATCTATTCTGATCTCATTTCATTTTTCTGGGTCTCAGTTTCCTAGTCTGTAAAATGAACAAGTTGGACAAGATCAGAGGGTGTGTAACAGCATCTTGAGAGGCTGGGGCTAATGCAGGGATTTGTTTTTGTGTATATATTTAAAACAATGAAAAAAACTTAATTGCTGTGGTAACCATGAAAATGGACCTTGCAAAACTCCTACTTCAGGGAATGTGATTGAGGGATCCAGCTGCTATCCTCTGAAACTATTCCTTCTGCACTGAGTCCTATTTGCTTCCACCAACATGCTTTGACAGAGTATATGGGGGGAAAAAAAGCACAGTTCTTCCCAGGGGACATACATTCCTATGTTGACCAACTTTGGCTCAAGAACTCCCTGGCTGCTTTGCTGAACTCTCCTTAGGGTGCACAGCAGTTGAGAATTCTTCTACTCTTCTTCAATCTCAAAGTCGCAGATTATAATAGTAGGTAAGGTGACAGGAACCAACATTTGCTGACTAGCTATTATGTGTAAGGCACTGTGAAAGATGCTTTACTTACATTGTTGGTACCACTGCTAGTTGTATTCTTCTTTCTACTAGAAATTCTCCTAATACCAAGGAGTGATTGAAGGAAGCTGGTAACAGGTATGAGATATGACAGTAAAATTGCAAGATCTCAATCTACTGGCTATAGAAACCTTTGCTGTAATACCCTCTTGGCCTATATGCTCTATTCCTACCAATTCAAAATAACATTCTTTTGAAGAAATGGCCAGAAACAAAGATATTACAGAAGATATAACTGGCTCAGCTTTTATTTCTGAAGCAGTCCAGCAAATACCTGAAAACTAATGTTCAGTAATTTTAATGAATAGACACTATTTAAGAACTGATGTTCAGTAATTTTAATGAATAGACACTATTTAAGAAAAAATTATTGACTTCATGAGTTAACAGAAAATCAGAACAGTTTCCCAGTTTTGTCTAAAAGCCAGTATTATTTCAATGTTCATTTTTGTAAGGCATACTGAATTGCATTCATAAATTCAAATTCACCCCATGAGCTGTATTTTAAGTGGGCAGCATTAGACTGGTTTTTATTAAAAGATAAAGGCTTAAGCTAGAAAAAGAATCCTTGGATGTTTTAAACTAGAATATTCTAATACATATAAATCATGAAAACTTTTCCAGATTTAGTTTTCAGAGGAACAAGGTGAAATCCCTACTTAGGCCAATCTAAATATCTGGGCATAAATCTATATATGATCACAGTTTTGTGAGCAGACTGTCTTCCTCCCCACTTAGGTATCTTTGAAAAAATCATTATTTACCTAACCTTTTTGCTAATGGAGAAGCTTTTCCTCTTCTTTGTAGATGAACACTACCACAAACACCATTTCAGTCACACCAACCACTTGGAGAAAATAAAAACACACTATCCTACAAGGTGGGGAAATCCATAATGCCATTTGGTATACAGCAGAGCATAGATCTAGGATTCTGGTTACTGGATTCATCTCTTGGCTCTTGCTTCTCTCACACTGAGTGAACTAAGCAAGTTACAAGTCATTTAACATCAATGCCTCCACTCATTCTTTTAGGAAAATCAACTCAGTAACATGTACCTCACACAGGCCTGCACAGTTTAATTAATGCTTATAAAGTACTTGGAAATTCTTATCTGAAAGAACCTAGGCCAATGCTAACTATTGGTATTATTGACTTCATCAGGGTAGCAATCATCTCAAATTTACACACAAAAAATCTAGAAAGGATCTCAAACTAACATATTATTTTTTAAAGAAAAGGAAAGAGAGAGAAAGGCTTTTAACATAAATGCCTATTTTCTTCACAACCATTTGTTTAAGTATTATTGGCTAACATTTGTGCCAAGCACGCTGCTGGCTACATTGAAGATACTTAAATATCTAGTGCCAACAAGCACAGCTGCCGGACTCTCTCTGCCCTCCTCTTGTTCACTCCATGCCAAATTATTCACGCAGCTATGAATGATGAGGCAGCAACATAGGAAAGTGCCAAGTGTGAGTGAGATTAGTGATAAACCAGAGGATCCCTAAAGAGGTCAGTGATTAGCAAGTTTCCACTGGAATCACTTTTCTAACCCAGCCTCTATCTCATCACTTATTTGTACAAACTTTCTGTGACAGGCATCAGAACTGTAAGCAGCTTCCTAATCAATAATTCCTGCAGAACTGCTAAGGAACCAATAAAGTATCTAACTATCTTTGATAAGAGCATACAGTTAGACCTGGGTAATTTGAATAGGCTTTAGAAATAGAAATGATTTCTTCAGAGTAAAACCTGAAATGAAGTAGACCAGGATGCAAATATTCACCAGGCCAGCTATTTTTTCCCATGTTCTCTACTCCCTCCCTAAAATCAGATTCATACATTAAATATAGACAAACAGACAAGGATGAGATGGTTTACATAAAATAGTCTGTTTGCCTTTCAGCCATAGAATGCCCAGAGTGAACATTAAGATGCATAATTCAATGAGGAAGTGTGGCTGATAGGTAGATTAGATATTAGGAATGAATAGAGTAGAAAAAGACTGTGATCAATTTTAGTCATTTATCAAAACTTTCTGAACCATTTTATGGTTCACTTTTGCCACATATGGAATACATAACAAAGTATTCATCATAGGTGACTCAAAATCTAAACTCCCCTTCTCTGAGACATTTTAGTTAATACTTATATTTTCTAAACTGTCCCTGAACACATATTTACATTCGTATTGCATTGTTGCTTTTCCTTAGGTTCAGAATTTAAGTGTTTTCTCACTTAAAGTCTCCATACTTCCCTAACTCCATGTTTAGAATTTAGAAAACAAACATGTCTTAATTTTATAGCAAGCCAAAATATTACAGAACTCGGAATTTACCTCTTCATATTTGGCTGCATTTCAGGATAAAATATGATGAATGCATATTCTTTAAAAATAATCAAGCATCTTTTGTATCTTAATTTTTACCCCATTCTTAAATAAAAAAAAGATGTGAAATTATTTATTTGAGGTTTTACAACTTTCTAGGGACTAAACAGCCAATTTTTCAACACCTTAGGTTTAGTCCACACCTCTTTTCTCAAAATAAAGAAAATCAGGTAAAACTCATATCAACAAATAATTTGGCTAGGGAAAGAGAGGGGGGCATATTTTCAAAATTGGCTTGGTAATCACATTTCCTGCTGACATACCGTTTCCACCAAATCCTTTTATATAGGTGTTCTCTCAGAAATTTCTTGTATCATATCATGATAAATAGAACATTAAGCTCATTGTTAATTCCTGCGATTTTCTCACAACTTTCTGTATTTTGGCTATTTAATTTAAATCATGACCTTACCAGACAAGGTCAATGTCTAAGTCTGTTTTTTATGGCACTTGGGGACCAGAAGGCAGATGCCACTTGTTCAGGGAACACTGGTCTGGAATTCTAGACTTGTTTTGTTTGTATGCCAAGGACAGATTCTACTCTAAAGTTCTATCTATGGCATACAGCCACATGGAGACAGAGACAGTATAAGAAAACTGTGCTTCAAAACAGTAGATAATAAATGATTGTTAATTAGCTGGTTTCCCCTGACAGCAAGAACTGGAATAGAAAGAAAGGAACTAATCAATGGAACTGCTACCATTCACCAACTATCTGGTCAGAAACAGATTTAGTAAAATGAAACAAGCATGGAAATGAAGAGTCAGAGGGTCTATTCCTGTCTCTGCTATGAAGTAGCTGTCTGAAACAGATAAGTTGTTAAATCTCCCCAGGCCTCAGTTTCTTCACCTGGAGAATGGGGTGGAGTAGAGCAAATTTGGTTTGGGTGATCTCTTTCTGTTATAATATCCCATAAATTGGCATGCCCATCTATTTTGCTATTAATCAAGTACTCTGCTTCTGACAGAATGTAGATCTGTGCATTCCTACCAGTAGTAGGAGGAGGAAGATAAACTGCTAAAAAAATATACAGATTTTTGCAGAATGGGTAAATTCAACAACACAAGAAACAACAGGTGTTGGTGAGGATGTGAAGAAAGGGAAACCCTCTTGCACTGTTGGTGGGAATGCAAACTGGTACAGCCACTGTGGAAAACAGTATGGAGGTTCCTAAAAAAGTTAGAAATAGAACTACCCTACAATCCAGCAATCGCATTACTGGGTATTTACCCAAAGGATACAAAATTAATAACTCAAAAGGGTATGTGCACCTCAATGTTTATAGCAGCACTATCTATAGTAGCAAAATATGGAAACAGTCCAAATGTCCAAAGGTTGATGAATGGATAAAGAAGATGTGGTGTATATATACAATGGAATCCTACTCAGCCATTAAAAAGCATGAAAGCTTGCCATTTGTGACAACAGGGATAGAGCTAAAGAGTATTATGCTAAGCAAAATAAGCCAGTCAGAGAAAGACAAACACCATAGGATTTCACTCATGTGGAATTTAAGAAACAAAACAAATGAGCAAAGAGGGGAAAGGAGAGAGGCAAACCAAGAAACAGACTCTAAACTACAGAGAACTAAGAGATGATTACCAGAAGGGACGGGGTGGGGGATGGGAGGGATAGGTTAAACAGGGGATGGGGATAAAGGAGTTCACTTGTGATGAGCACCAGGTGATGTATGCAAGTTTTAATCACTATATTGTACACATGAAACCAGTAATATTACACTGTATGTTAACTAGAGTTTTAAAAAAACTTTACAAAGGGATTTTTGGGATGATGATGATGTGCAGTTACAAAAATGAAGTGTATAAGCAGTTTATCATACATTTGTTTAATACACTGAGATATTTTACTGTGAATATGGTATGTTGAGTATGATACACTAAAGTCAGTATACTTAAGGTTACCAAGACTTTATTTTATTTAGATTAAGAAAAGCTCTAAACGTTAATAAAATTTCTCACTGGAGCTCAACACTGTCCACCTATAGAATGCAGAAAGGTAAGAACTTTGCACACCACAGAAAATATACAGATACAGAGCAACAGAAAGGAGATAATTCTATTTTGTTGTAACAGATGAGAGAATGTCCAAAAGAGAGTCTTAAATCCCTTCTGTGGCCTGCTAAGATTTAAATATGATTCTTGCTACCTAATAGGCACCGAGGGCAAAATATGAGACCTTCAATTTTCCTTTCTTCTTTTTTGAAAATGTTTATTTACTTTAAGAGAGAAACAGAGAGAGAATATTCCAAGTAGGGCATTTGATGCGGGGCTCGATCTCATGAATCATGAGATCATGACCTCAGCTAGAATCAAGAGTTGGATGCTTAACTGACAGAGCCACCTAGGTTTTCACTGAGTGACCTCCAGTACTGCATGCAATTTACTGCCATCCTACCTTTGCAATGTGAAAACAGGCAAAGGCTGGCCTCAAGTGCTCAATGAGTTATAATCCAAAATTCATTTGTGAGTCAGGCATAAATCAAAATAAATATTTTATATACCAACTCATTATAAATGGCTATACAAATCAATCTTAAGTCATAGTACATCTATGTGAAATAACTGTGGAAGGGAGGAATGAAGGAAGAAACCAAAGACTAAAGTAAGAAAAGAAAAAATTATAATAAAATTAGGGTGTAGGCATGGGGAAGTTATTATAAACAGAGACTCTGGATGTAGAGTGGGTTTAAATTACCACTCTGAAGTAATACTGGCTTTCAGACAAATAGTATTTTATTTTGTATTTTAATGAAGTCATTGAAATAGATTTTTCTCTAACCTCACTGTCCTTTAGTTGCCGCAACTTTGAAATGGGATAGTAACAGTTTCACTTCACTAGTTTTTTTGTGAGGATAGAATGTATTGACAAATAAAGTGCTTAGAAAAAATGAAAAACACAAGGTAAGGCCTAATTAGATATTAGTTATTATTTTTAAATAGAGAAAAAAAGAAAGGCAGATTCCAGGGAAATAATTTAAAGGAAGTTTTGGATACTTTAAAAGGTTTGAGAATTCTTTATGTTTTTCCTTTCATTAAATTTCATTTTTAAAGGCTGATGGCCTCACTCTTCCTTTAGCATTAATAGATAGAGTGGATCTATCTCTACCAGTATTTGTACACTTAGCCACAAATAATTTTCTGTTCACAATTAAAATAAAAAGAAAAACTTACCAAAGAAAGCATGTATGACATGGAAAAGGTTGTAAGGGATCTGAAGAGATTTGAAAGTATAAAAGATAAAGTAAAATGAATTTTAACAGAGTTACAGATTTTTTAACAAAGTGGGAACAGAATAGATAGGCTCGGTGTAATCCTTAACCTGCTCATTCTCTTTTTCCCAGAGGCTGGGGAAAATGGGTATAGGAGACTACTTTGGGTCTGATGGTTCTAAGCTACTGGATTCAATATAGCTTGGCTATTGTTTGAAGTTCATGGGGGAAGTAGGAGCAGGACATCTTTACTAGGTAAAAAGGTGTTATACAGCATTAGTGTGTAAACAGAGGTTATGATGTTCACTATTTAAATGTTTTAATTAAAACTAAAAAGCTTTTTTTAAATCTCTTGTTACTGTGTGTGCTTCATTTTGACAATTTATACTTAATGCAATTATTGGTTCTGGATTTAAACCTACCATTTTGTTAGATGTTATGTTTTCTATTTGGCTCATCTGTTATTTCTTTTTCAGCCTACTTTTGAATTGAGTACTCCATTTAGTCTTTCCCCATGGCTTTTATTTATTTATTTATTTATTTATTTTTTTATTTTATTTTATTATTATTATTTTTTTTACAAATAGTTTATTGTCAAATTAGTTTCTACATAACACTCAGTGCTCATCCCCAAAGTGCCCTCCTCCATGCCCATCCCCCTCTCCCCCCCACATCCATCAGTCCTCAGTTTTTGTCAGCATTCAAGAGTCTCTCATGGTTTGCCTCTCTCCCTTTCCCCCACCATTTCCGCCCTTCTTCTCCCCCTTGTTCCTCCCTCAAGTTCCTCCTAATCCTCCTATACGTGCAAACATATGATATTTGTCCTTCTCTGCCTGACTTATTTCGCTCAGCATAATACCCTCAAGGTCCATCCATGTTGCTACACATGGCCAGATTTCATTGTTTCTCATTGCCATGTAGTATTCCATGGTATAGATAAACCACATCTTCTTG